CCGTGAGCTGTGGGCGAGGCAGCGGGGGCCGGAGAGGGGAGAGGCAGAGAAGGCAGAGGGGTTAGTGCCTGAGCCAAGCTTGTGAGGGGACGAGTCCTCCTGGAGGACAGGAGGCAAGAGGCAGGCGTGACAGAGTGACCAAGGCCTTGGAGGGACGCCTCATCCACTCATCTTGCAAGGGGTGAGCGGCAGCAGGTGTGCACCCCGTAGCCTCGTACTTCCTGCAGTACTTACCCCAGCTAGCTGGCTGCCCGTCAGCATGAGTTGGGCCTGGGGCAGGTGAGGCTGAGCCGGCTGGGGGGCCGGGGGTGCTGCTGGGGCTGAGTCACCACTGGAGTCTTCAGCCTTGATCTGGGGGGGAGAGAGGCAGGGTCCGGGACCCCAGAATGTTAAGTGGAGGCCAGAGAGAATGCCCACCTGCAAACCAAAGAGAGGGCACATGTGTGGGAATGGCGGCCTCAGGCTGGCACAGAAGAGACCAGGGTGCTCAGACCATTCCTCTGGCCTCAGTTTCCCCATCGGTGAGGTAAGGCTCGTACACCGCCTGCACCCAACTCCGTAAGGAGAAGCCACCTTTGGAGAACTTTCCCCTCCTAAGAGTCAGTTTCCTCATCTGTAAAATGGGAAATGGTGCCACTGGGGCCCAGAAATTCAAGTAAAGGGGTCCCGGGTCTCACACACACTGTTCAGGTTAGCCAGAAGTGCATCTTTCTCTTCTTTTTTTAAAGATTTATTTAACCTTAGTTATTATTATTATTTTTTAAATTCGATCAGAGAGAGAGAGAAAGAGACAGAAAAATGAGAAAGCAAGCCACCAGGTCCAGGACTCAAACCACAGTCAGCCATGTGGGAGTCCAGCGCCTTAACCACCATATCACCTGCCAACCTCAAAAAATTCATCTCTTCTCTTATTTTTACTTATTTATTATTATTATTATTTGGAGAGGTTTTTGCTATAGGGTGTGTGTGCTCATCAGAGAGACAGAGAGAGACAGAGAGATAGAAAGCAAGAAATCACCCCCCAGGGGGGATGGCCACGCCACAATCCCTTCTTCTCTCCTCCATTCCCCTCTCGGGATCTTGGGCATGCACACAGATGCACTGGCATAAGTTTAAGCCACTGGGTCCAGGACTGGAACCACGGTTGACTACATGGGAGTCCAGTGATATATCCATTATGCTAACTGCTGGTCCCTTTTTTAATTTATTTTTTAAAGAATTATTTTATTAACATTTATTTATTTGTTTATTTTAATTTGACCAGAGAGGAACAGAGTGAGAGAGAGGGGTGGGGGGGAAGTGAGAAAGCAAGCTGGGACTCAAACCACAGTCGGCCATTTGGGAGTCAAGCACCTTTAACCACCACGCCACCCACTAGCCCAAGAAGTGCATCTCTTTTTTTGTCCAACGAAAGAAAGGGTTGTAGGGTATTTTGAAAAATCACCATCTTGGAACTCTGGCTTCAGATCCAAAAAGCTTAGGGCGGTGGGCAGAAAACACAGGTAGGTGACAGCAGGTGGACAGAGTGGGCTGGAGAGACCGTGCCCGGCCTAGCTCCCACTCCCCTCCCACTGGCCACTCTCTTCAACAGCTCCTATGGAACACTGACAGGACAAGCGAAGCAGTCTCTGTCCTGTGCTGTGGGCAGGCCAGGTGGCCCCAGGCGCACCCTGGAGGCCCCTTCTTATCTCTCTGAGCATGAGGGGGACACATCTTGCCTCACACACAAGATGGACCACCCAGAGCCATACCAGCCTTACCCTCTCCTAGACAGCAGGTCGTTGGAAAAGTCATGATGTATTTTTCTATTTTTTCTAAGCAAAAATGCATCCTCACTTTTCTCACGACCCCATAAAAAGCCAGAGGACAACAGTTGGCAGCTGAAAGCACACAGGGGTAGAAGAAGCGTGGCCTGATGAACCGCACATTCTCAGGAACAGAGCGGCCGTTGGGGTCAGGGGGATGACTTTAGTGCCCCCACTAGGGTACTTCCACCCAATGTCCCGGCACCATTTTGCACTAAGGGACTCTGGAAGGCTGGTCATGTGTGCTTCTTGATTTGGTACTGTGACACGGGCATGACTACTGCGTGAAAGTTCAGGGCCAGGCCCAGCCACAGTGACATATCACCAGCTACCACTTGGGAGGCTGGAAGCTGGAAGCTTGGCCTGGGTTCAGTTCTTGGTCAATCTGAAAATGCTCAGAGTGATTGTTGGTCCCTGTGATCCTGGGTAATTGGGAGGCTGGGGCAAGAAGATTGTGATGTGGTGAGACCCTATCTTGGGGACCAGCAGTTGGCATAATGGCTATGTCGCTGGACTCCCATGTAGTCGACCACAGTTCGAGTCCCAGACCCGGTGGTTTAAACTCACACCGGGCGCATGTGCGTGTGTGCCCAAGATCCTGAGAGGAGAATGGAGGAGAAAGGATTGCGGTGTGGCCACTTCCCTGGGGGGGTGATTTCTTGCTTTCTGTCTCTCTGTCTCTTTCTGTCTTTCTGGAGAGCACATGTGCCCTATAGCAAAAACCTCTCCAAAAAAATAATAATAATAATAAAAAAACCTATCTTGGGACCACCATTTGGCATGGTAGTTAAGGTGCTGGACTCCACATGGTCGACCATGGTTTGAGTTCCAGACCACGCAGCTTGAAAATCCCACTGGGCGCCTGTGAATGCATGCCCACAATTCCAGGAGGAGAATGCAGGAGAAGGGATTGAGGTGTGGCCACCCACCCTTGAGGATTATTTCTCACTTTCCCCTCTCACTCTTTGGTGAAAGTACATGCCCTATGGCAAAAAACTAAAGAAACAAAGAAAGAAAGAAACCTCTCTCTCTCTGTCTGGCTCTCTGTATTTTTCTCAGAAAGAGAAAAAGGAAAGAAAGCTCAGAATCATACACAGAGGATCTGTGTATATTTTTATGTTTATCATATTTTAATATAAAGGTTTTTCAGAATTATTTAATTTATTTATTTTTCTTTTTTTAAAAGAAGTATTGTGTTTAACTGTATTTATTTATTTATTTTAATTTGACCAGAGAGAGATAGAGAAAGAGCGAGCGAGAGAGAGAGAAAGTGAAAAAGCAAGCCACCAGGTCCAGGACTTGAATTGTGGTCAGCCATGTGAGAGTCCAGAGCCCTTAACCACCAAGCCATCTGTCGGCCCCAATTTTATTTATTTATTTATTTATTCATTTATTTATTATTATTGAATTTGACCAGAGAGAGAGAAGGAAAATGAGAAAGTAAGCTGCCAGGTCTGGGACTCGAACCGCAGTCAGCCATGTGGAAGTCCAGTG